TTAGATTGAACACAATGGTACACGCTGGGCAGAGGCCTCCCACCAAGCCACCTAATACGTCACTAAAATAGAAAGACATATGCATGGCCAACTGAGTTTTGACAAAGGGCTAAAGGCAACTAAGTGGCAAAAAAATAGTGTTTTCAACAAATGCTGTTGGAACAGCTAGACATTCACATGTCTAAAAAGAAAAAATAGTAATAATTAAAAAAAACTTCAGCGTTCACCTCACACTTTATTCAAAAACTAACTCCAAATTGGATCATCAATCTAAACATAAAATGTAAACTCTACAACTTTCCAAAGGAAAAACATAAGAGAAAATCTTGTGCCTTAGGATTAGGTGAAGAGAGGTCATAGATACGATTTCAAAAGTGCAATCCGTTAAAAAAAATGATAAATCAAAATTCAAAACTTTTGTGCTGAGAAAGACATTTTAAGAAAATAAAAAGTCAGGAGGACCTGGGTGGCTCAGTTGGTTAGGCATCTGCCTTCAACCCAGGTCATGAACTCATTGTTCATGAGTTTGATCCCCACATCAGGCTCTCTGCTGTCCATGTAGAGCCCACTTCAGATCCTCTGTCCCCCTCTTTCTCTGCCCCTCCCCCACTTGTTCTCACTCTCTCTCTCTCTCTCTTTCAAAAATAAACAAATAAATACAAAGAAGGAAAGAAAGCAAGAAAGCAAGAAAGAAATAAAGGCAAGCTACAGACATGGAAAAGGCATTTGCAAACCACGTATCCAACAAAGGATTTGTGTCCAGAATGTATAAAGAACTCTCAAAATTCAACAACAGAAAAACCAACAACCCAATTCAAAATAGGCAAAATAGTTGAACAGATACTTTAGCAGATATTAATATAAATGGCCAGTAAGCATATATGAAGATGGTTAATAAAATTAGCCACTAAAAGAACACAAATTGAAATTATGATTTCAAATTTCATTTGAATGTGAATTAGAAAAACTTTTGGAAAAAACCGACAATACTAAGTGTAGACAAGGGTGCAGAGCAACTGAAAGTCTCATGTGCTCCTTGCAGAAATACAAAATTGTACAGCCACTCTGTACAAGGGGAAGTTCCTTATAAAGTTAAGAATATACATAGCCTCCAACCCAGCAATTCTACTCTTAGGTATATCTCTTAGAAAAATAAATACTATACTCACACGAAAATTTGTATGTGAATATTTATAGCAACTCTATTCATAATCGCCAAAATATAGAAACAATCGCTGTGTCCTTTAATAAGTGAACAGTTAAAGGATGCGACATCCATTCACAGGCATGTTATCCCGCCAGGAGTAGGAATGAGCTGTTGATACATATAATTCAGATGAGTCTCGAAGGCACTATGTTGGCTAAAAGGAGGCATTGTCAACAAAAAATTACTGTACTCCACAACAATTTTGAAAGTACAAAACTTTAGTGATGGTAAAGAGATCAGTGAGTATCAATGCTTACTGGCGGGGGTGGGAGCGATGGAGTAAGGGGTGGGGGGGCCCACAGCAGACAGCAGAAAGAAAAAGGAAAGTGTTTGGGTAATAGAATGGTTCTTTATCCTGATTGCAGTGCTAATCACACAAATCTGGGTAGGTGCTAAATTACATTAGCACTCCAAAAAAAGTAAATTTTATTGTATGTTGATTGTAAAAATAAAATAAATAACCTGTTTGCTTGACTTATTTCCATAGAAAGGAACCGTAAGGTCAGATAGCATTCAGAACCTATGCTCTTACTCATTCAACAAATATTTACTGCGAATCTGTGATGTGCTAAATATTGCTGTAAGCAGTGGGTACACGAATCAACAAAACGAAGATCCCAGCCCTCCTCACAGAGTCTGCAGTCCAGCAACACCTCCTTACGTTGACTTTTCTAAGATGTAGTCAAGTAAATAGGGGCTTGAAGATGAAATGGAGCCAGTGCTTTCAGAAGGAGCTCAAGGCTTCATCTCGAGAGATGAGGGAGGCTTTATATCTAAGAGTATGTCTGTTTCAGGCCACTTGGGTGGCTCAGTGGGTTGAGCGTCCAACTCTTGGTTTCTGCTCCGGTCATGATCACACGATTCTTGGGTTTGAGGCCTCAGGACTCACAGTGCAGAGGCTACTTGGGATTCTCTCCCTCCCTCTCTCTCGCTCACTGCTCCTCCCCCACTCACACTTACTCTCTCTCTCTCTCTCTTAAATAAATAAACTTAAAAAAAAAAAAAAGTACATCTGTTTCAAAGTCCCTTCTGAGAGTGTATCATCCCCAGCATGGCTGCAACGCCTACCATATTTAGGCCACCTCCCACCCTTGTTCTCATCTTCAGGAACCAAAGCTAGAGAGGACGCAAGAATTTCTGCTCTGTCACAGAGAGCAGTTTCAGGTAACACAATAGAATCAAACCAAATTAAAAGATTAATGAATTACCAGAATGTTTACTATTTTATCTGATTCTCTCCACAAACTTGAAAATCAAAAATTCAGCCACTACTATCCTTATTTCATGTACATAAGGAAACGATCTCACAAAGCTTTCATGAATACGGAGCAGTAAACTTGTGATTCACACTGGTTTTCAGACTCTGGGTCCATATTACTTTCCCCTGTACCACAGCGTCACGGCCAAGTGAAAATCATTCCGTACCTCTCGCCTTTGGTAATCCAGAATTACCTAAGAAGTGCATTAATTCACTCATTTATTTAACAAATCTGGATTGAGCAATTGTTGACGGCCAAGTACAGCGATGGAAGATGTAGACCTAGGGCCTATCCTCAAGAGGCTTGTAGTCTAGATCAGGAGACATACAGATGAAGGCACAATTGTCACGAAGGGAAAGAACCCTGGGGTAACTCAGTGGAGGCACTGAATAGGGCCTCTTTGGGAAGGAAGTCTTAAACTAGATTATGAAGGATGAAAAAAGAGTGGCAGTTAAAGGCTCTTCCTGATACAGGAAATAGCATGAAAGAATACCCTCAGGTGGAAATCACGTTGCTTTATTTGTAGGAATTGAAGAAAACCAGAGCAATCAACAGCTGCACATCAGTGCTTCTCAACTCTGGCTGCACATTCGGATCACCAGAAGGAGTTTTGTAAGGATAGTGATGTCCAGGTCCTGCCCCCTGAGAATTTGATACATTTGTTCTGGGGCAGAGCCCAGACAAGAGTATTTGTTTAAAACCCCACAGAAGATTCGATGTATAGGCAAAGTTTAGAAAGCACTGTTTTTATTAGGTTTGTTGAACCACAGATTCCAGGCAAATTTATGTTTAAGTGTGAATAGACTTCTTTCGGAATTCATCCACATTTTGGTTAATTTCAAGTGGGTCTTAATTTTTTTTCTTATCTTTAGTCAAGTTCGAGTGGTCTGCTTCGTACTAACAAACTCACATCATATTAATCGATTTCAATATATGCGGCACATGACGCAAGAATAAATAGGGGCTCTTTGTTTCCTCTTATATATGACAGTACTTACGTTATAGTCATTGATGAGAGAGATCTAGTAAGAAGGAGACCATGGACTCCCCAAGAAATATACTTCCAAAGATGGATGAAATGCCTATTTGCAAAGGAACATGGCATTCATGTAGCACCCATGCGGGATCACAGGCTGAAGCAAAAAATAATTAGGGAATCAGGATAGAGCTATCATATTATTTCAAAGGTTCTTTGAGATGGATTTCCTGGATACATGGTTCTAGTCTTATGCTCCCCCCCCCAACGGAGGGCATATTTCTGACCCCTATATCCTTGACCCATCTCACAGTATAACATAGTCCCAATATATCTTAATAATGCTGGATAAAAGTGAATGCCATAGTAATCTCATGTTCTCTAAGAAAGTACTTCTCTACACTTGTGTGGCTCAGCCTTTCCAGAAGGTATCAGAGCCCTGTTCATCCTTATTTTGTCCTCAGGCCAAAACCTACAGCAATTTTGAAAACAGTAGCTTATCTTGAGAGGGCCCAGAAGGGAAAGTACTTAATAAGATTAAGACACTTAAAAATTAGAATTCCAAGTAACACTATTGTTCCTTGGTGATTTATTACATTTCCTAAATTTCACAAGCAAAAAAATTTTTTTTCTTTATGCTGTTGTTAGTTTTTTTTATTTTTTCTTAATAGAAAGTATCAAAGAATTGTTTTTTAAACTACTCTGCTTTTTTTTTTTTTTTCCCTTTTCTCCTTTACCTCAGAGGAAGAATTATCCTTTCTGCTTTCCAGGACTAACCTCTCCCATCTATCTTGCTTATGATGGGAATTCTCCCCAACAGACCCTTACACTCTTGATTTTTCCTCCTCCAGATATTTTCCCATCGTTTATTAAGAGAGGGGTAAGTATTCATCCATTAAAAAAAAAAAAAACACACAAGTACAATCTTCTCTCAACCCTTCACTCCATTAAGCTGCTCTTGAAACTCCTTCACCTCATTTTCGAGAGCGTCTTCTATATTCACTGCCTTCATTTCTTCTTTTTTGTTCCCTCCTCTGGTCATTGCAGTCTGGTTTGTGCCTCATTCCCTACCTATCCTTTAAAAAGGCATCAAAATGTACTTGATTTGCAAAGCAAACTATGTTTTCGTCATTCCTCAAGGATGAGGAATGTATCATGTATCACGTAGGAGCTGCAAAGTCTAAAGCCCGACTCAGACCTACCGGATCAGAACTTGCATTTTAACTAGATCCTTGAGTGATTTGTATGCATTTAAAATTTGAGTAGTGCTTCAACAGAGTAATTTACTGATGTGACCCACCCCCTGCTCCTTTCTTGAGATGCTTAAAATTCCATAGCCTTCATGATACCACATTCTGGTCCTTCTACTTCATTTAAAAAAAAAATGTTTATTTTTGAGAAAAAGGGAGAGGGAGGGGCAGACAGAGAAGAAGAGAGAGGATTTGAAGCGGGTTCTGCCCTCTGCATTGAGAGTGGAGAGTTCAGAAAGCCCAAGGCGGGGCTCAAACCCATGAACTGCGAGATCATGACCTGAGCCGAAGTCAAACAACTGAGCCACGAAGCGCCCCTCTACTTCTTCAGATTGCTCCTTTTCAGTTGACTCTACCCTTTTCTTTCTTCTGTCCCTTAAATTAAGGTTTTCCTATAGTTTTCCCACTGTCCTTTTTGTGATTTAGGCCCCATCTCTATTAGGATGACACCCATATGTCCCTCCTGAATTTAAATCCATTTTTTTTTCAACTCCAAGCTGGTCACAGTCTTACTAATTTCCCCAATACCTTAAACTCAATTTGATCAAGGGGCGCCTGGGTGGCTCAGTCCATTCAGCGTCTGCCTCTTGATTTTGGCTCAAGTCATGTTCTCACAGTTTGCGAGTTGAGCCCCGCATCCAGCTCCGGGCTGACAGTGCAGAGCCTGCTTGAGATTTTCCCTCTCCCTCTCTCTCTTGGTCTTTCTCCCTTCCTCTCTCTATAAATAAATAAACAAATAACACACTAACAAACTTTAAAAAATGTATACTCAATTTGATCAAAACCAATTGGTCAACTTTTATCTGAAATCAGTCCCTTTAGGTACCTCACCTCTTATAAAAGCAAGACTATCTTCCTAGATACCCGAGCTATAATTTTCTCATTTCTCTTTATGGCACAACTTTTCATCTGCCAAATCCGGTTGACTCGATTTTAACATTTCTCTTGAAGAAACCCTGTTGATTGCATCTCGCTGCCACTATCCTATGTCGAGCCCTTACCATCTCTTCTTCTTTGGGCTGATGCGATGGCCTTCTTACTGGATTTCTCACCTTCAGTTACTCCTTTGCCCAAATCTATCACCAAACGTGTGCTGGAATCCTACAGTTCCTTATAGTTCTTCAAATATACTCTGTACCATTCTGACTTCTTAACTTCTCTTGTGGCTCTTCTTTTATCCAAAAGCATTTCCACCAATGAATTCCAAACTACCGTTTTCACCCCAGGACAAAATTGTGAAGTTAACAGACATTTTCCAGATCACACCAATGTAGGATTTAAAACGGGATTGCATTAAAAAGAGTTCATGAGAATGTCACCTGCCTCCAAAAGCTCACTTGTTTGTTTCTGAGAGTCCATCCGAGGGTTTCACGTGAACTCACAATCTGCTTACTTATCTTGTCCCACAGCAGGCTCTGTGACACCTTGGATTACAGAATTATAGTATAGGGAACACAGTATATGCATATAACACAACCCAATGCGTCACAAGGTAGCATGTACTATACTGTATTGTAAACTCCCATGTCTCCCATAATTCCATTGAGGAGTTTCTCTCTTTCAGCAGGTTGCTCTTTCCGTGTGGTCCCCCTCTCCCTGGGAATCCCACTATGAGATGACTGAACCAGAGAACACATCTGATTAACAGGGTACATTTCCCACCTAACTCCTCTAACTACGTCTTTCTTATTCAGCCAATTGCATCTGCTTTACTCCTCCAAGTTTGAAGTTTGTTCCAGAAAGCTTCATGGTCCTGAATTGTGAATAGAGTGCTGGTAGACCTTCCCATCATGTACGCGCGCGCGTGTGTGTGTGTGTGTGTGTGTGTATTTCTCAGCGGAGGAGTATGCTTGGGCTCAAGTAAGCCCCTGCAGGGCGAAGATTGCATGCTATTTTGGTTTGCATTCCCAGAGAATTTGGCGGCCTTCTTTGCTGACGCTGGTTACACAATAAAACTTGCCCGAATTGAATGTTGCATCAAAAAACATATATAGATGTTGCCAGAGACCATTGTGTATGCCATGTAGGTACACACAAAACAAAATTATCAAGCATAACAAATATTTCCCTAGTCCGCCCCTTAAAAAGTAAAACAGCCTAAAAGATGGTAATAATGCAAGAATTATCATGGCTCTTTTCTTCTAGCCTTTCATAAATACGTTCTGGCCTCAGGCATCCACCTATTTGCAAGGCTGATCACCGCTCAAAATACCGGCCGTGGGATTAAATCCAGAATCCTCTCAAGAGTGCCTGTGTGTGTGTGTGTGTGTGTGTGTGTGTTTGCAAGTGAATCTTAAAGTCACTTTTTCATGATTTGCAAGTGAATTTTAAAGTGTTTGCAAGTGAATCTTAAAGTCACTTTTTCATGATTTGGGGGGTAGAGTGGATTCAGCAGATTCTGTCTGGAGCCTGTCAATGTGAGACAGCTTGTGAGAGATCATAAACATATTTTTCAGATAGAAACGTTGCAGCCATGAACACGTCACGTGGCCACCCCTTCCCTAAGGTTTGCTCCTTTAATTGTAAATAGCCAGAAAGCCATCAAGCCAGAGTTTAATAAACTTTTAATTTGAAATGAATTACCACATGTTGTGTTTGTTTACCCATTATTAAATCTCTTAGCAACATATCAGTGGCAGAAACAGCATACTGTAGCACAGCCCTGATATATTAGAAAACAAACCCATGGGGGATATTAACTGCTAATAATATGTTTAGGAAGCCTCTAAGAAAAATAAATAAATATAACCAATGTAGCAGAGACACGTATTTGAAGAGGTTGTTATGTTCCGTTTTTATATAAATCTATTCTGAATGGGAGCAAAACATCCCCGTGCAGTCTTGGACTATACAGCTCAAATCTGTCTCTGAGCTGAGAGCAGAGCAGATGCAAATCAGCCTTTTCCAAGCATTTTCTTCAAGCATAAAACATTCTTCCTCTCACGGTACACAGTGTTCTATTGATCATGTCAGTATTTATGTTTCTTGGAATACCACCTGTCTTCCTTTTAGGGGAACTGAGGGCAGCGTTCTAAAAGCTAAGTTCCGAGCATGGTGCAGAAGGTGTGGAAAATATAGCCATAGTCCCACGAGGAAAAACTAGAAAGCAAAAATGATCTGGTGACAAAGAGTCTGAGAGTAATTGCTTTGCGTCTTCAGCTCAGTATCCTAAAACTAGGTTAAAATGTCAGTATCACTGAAATATTATTACTGTTAAGGCAGAACCTATTTTCCCAAAAGTTGAAAATTATAAAATAAGATTTTTGGTTCCATGCTTAATCCTAAAATGTTGGGAGGAAAAAAACAAGGAAGAAAGAAAAAGAAAGAAACAGAAAGAAGGAGGGAAAAAAGAAAGGAAGGAAAAAAGAAAGAAAGAAAAAAAGAAAGAAGGAAAGAAGGAAAGAAAGAAAGAAAGAAAGAA